GTAAAAAAAATTTGTCAAGTTAAAAAATAAATAAAGATTTTTTTAAAAAAACAATTTGGCAGAGCTAGCAGTAAAAGCTAGCCCCACCCAACTGTTTCCTATTGGCCGCCACCTGCTACAGTGACTTCACGGCCGGCTCTGCCCAGTTGTGATTTATTTAATTACAGTTCAGCATCCCCAGGTCATTTGGGGATGTTGATCTGTCATTACAACTGGGCGGAGCCAGCCATGAGATCACGGCTGGCTCCGCCAAGATTTCATTTGCGGGGCGAAAGGCTGGCCTTTGGCAGACCGCTCGCACTGCTTCGGCTGACATTTCGGCTGGGCTGACCTGAAGCAAATGCCTTCCGCTCGGCCACCTTCAGCTGCTGTAGGGGCTATTCTGAATAGCCCCTACAGCAGCCCTCCGGGCTGAACCAAAAGGCTCCGGTGGCCGAAGAGAGATGATGGATCAGCTGGAGCTACGGCTGGATCCTTCAGCTCCTTTGTGAATAGCCCCTTAAATGTTTTATAATTTAGGGAATTGTTTTCAAATTTTCTGTACTTTTTTTGTTATATAGTAAAAAATAAACCCCAGTGGTGATTTAATACCACCAAAAGAAAGCTCTATGTGTGTTCATGCCTCAATTAAACACCTTAAAGGAGAACTGTGGGGTAAGTGTTTTTCCCCATAGTTCTCCTCAGGGTCACAGGAGGACATAAACTAGCATCCTCCCGTGACCCAAAGCTCAGTATACCGCGAGCTAGAGCATTACTGTCGAGATCCACCCAGCTGCATAATTGACAGCTGACTCTGCTTATCTAGAGGCAGAACCAGCTGTACCCGCCCCCTCCCCCCTCCGTTCCTCCAGTCAGCGCTGGCGGATCGGAGCAGGGAAATCCCTGCAGGGAGCTGTGAGTGACAGTTACGGCTCTCAGGAGGGACAGGATTGAGAATTGAGCGAGCGACGGTATGTGTTGTATGTGTAGGCTCGAACTATGAGTTTGAGTGAAAATCACTCACCTCATAGTTCTCCTTTAGGCCTTCAAAAGTGTCGGGTCCGGATGGCTTTTAAGCCTTGTATTATAAGAAATTAGCTCAGATTCTGACCCCCCAAGTTAACATCTCTCTATAACTCACTTAAAACTGGTCTAGAATTACACTCCTCCTCACTTCTTGCATACGTTGCCTTGGTTGCAAAGCCTGACAAGGACCTTCTAAACACTGACATAAAAATATTAACAAAAATCTTGGCCACTCGCATCAACACTTTTTTATCCATGCTTGTACATGGGGATCAGGTAGGGTTTGTCCCATTGCGACAGGCCAGTGATAACATCCGGAAAATTGCACATGTTATTAATATCCTAAGTTTACAGGTATTCCAGGTTTCTATTAAGCTTAGATCTTCAGAGAGCCTTTGATTCCATATCCTGAGATTACTTAACATATGTATTAGGAAAATGGGGCCTTCGTGACTCATTTATGGTGTGGATTTATACTCCGTATTCCAACCCACGGCTCAAGTGAAATACCTAGGATGTATGTGACCAGCATTTCCTATTGCCCGGGACACGCGTCAAGGATCCCCAGCCTTTTTGTGTTAGCTATTGAGCCCTTGGCACTCATACGTTCTAACCCCCAATATTAAGGGTGTTGAATTAGCACGGGTCGAATATGAAACAAGCTTATTTGCCGATGACGTCATTCTTAACCTTAATCAACATCATACCACTGTCCCGAATTGTCTTACTCTATTACAATGTTTCTCTCTTATATCTGGTCTTATGGTCAATTGGAGTAAATTCGCTGCATTGAATGTGAAAATGCCCCGATCCGCATCTCTGTGCCAATTATACATTCTCTTGGGCAAAACATTCCATTAAGTATCTAGGAGTACAAATTACTCCGTCCTATGAAGCTCTCTATACTGCTAATTACATACCACACTTCCGCTCCTTGAAACAGCTGGGACCAAATGGCAGACTCCCCATATCTCCTTTTTTGGCAGAGTGGCAGCCGTTAAGATGATGGTACTACCTAAACTCCTCTATTTTTTTCGAACATCACCAGTTGTGATATCATCATTTGCCCCACGTTCTTTACAGCAGAGTATACTAAGCTTCATCTGGCACCCTCTAAAAGCTAGAGTTTCGAAAGTTACATTGTATAAACTTAAAAGGGAAGGAGGTATTGGATTGCCTAACATATGGATTTTACCCCTTATCTCTATCCATCAAAAAATCACAAAAAAATCATAACAACCTGGTCTTCAAGTGGTTAAAGTTGATGCTTAACACAATAAAACTACATTCGGAAAAGAAATTCAGATGCATCCAAAAATGTTGTTATCAGAAATTCGTATTTGTTTGCATTATCTCTGTAATTCGGAAACAGGCATCCGAATGACAAATTTCCAAAGATTTGTCCGAATAACAAATCTTTCCGAAATGAATTGCACATGTCTTATTACAACACTGTTAGAAGTTCTAACTCTTTCCCACTTAACTAAAAATACGTTTTTGTCTGGACACCTGTTGGAAAGACTTCCAATCACTTCTTGTCTTTACACGAAATTAAGAGAATCCTACATAAAAGGAACACAGAAGTAGAAAAAAAAAGTTCCAAAGGTCAAATATCAAACTATTTTTAAGAAAACACAACTGAGAAAATGCTGCAGTCATCTACTTCTGAAAATGGTAATGACTTGAGGACACATTCATTCATTCACCTTGGTGCATTGCATTAATAGCAATGAGCTGAATGGTCTGGCAATGCACCAACTGTCCAAGAAAAGGACACCATGTTGGGCAAAGGAGGTTATGCTGATCCAATGGTTTTCATATATTTGGATGCCCTTTGGCCTGTGTAAATACCCCAGATTTTTTTTTTCCATTTTGTCATTGGTTTCTTCCACGACCTCCCATATGTGTTTGTGATCATTTATTTGGAAGACATACTCATCTTCTCTTTAGATCTTCCTACTCATAGGCTCATATTGGGGAAGGTGTTAATAGTCATGTTTCTGTGTTTGCTGATGATACTAAAACTGGGAGGATAATAGACATGAGCTTAGACATTATAACATTAAAGGAGGACCTAGATAAAATAGGGGAGTGGGCAGTTAGGTGACAGATGAGGTTTAATGTTGTAAAATTTAAAGTAATGCATTTTGGAGTTATAAACAAGCATGCAGAATACACATTAATGGGAACTCAACTAGGGAAGTCAGAAGCAGAGAAAGGTTTAGGGGTCAGAGTTGACTGCAGATTACACAATAGCATACATTCCGCTAGCTTTGCAAACAAATCTAGCTGAGTATTGTAATGCATTAAAAAGGGAATGTACTGTAGAGACAAAGCAATCATTTTACCACTTGACAAAATGCTGGTTCAGCTTCATCTTGAGTAGTTTAGTAATGGCAATCTACAGACACATACTTCTAGATAATTGCTGACTTTGTATTCTTTGCATACCTTCTTTTTCTTTTCTTCCCCAGTCTTCTGACAGTGGCCATGTTTACTAAGGGAAGATTACTAGCACTCCCTTTACTTGCTGGATTTCTGCATGACATGCTCATCATCTCAGGGGAGGAAAAGGCCTTTCCCTGAGATCTCTCGAGATTAGAGATGAGATTTCCCATCAATGCTCTGCTGATGACAAGGCAACCCCAGTGTGCATTGTTTTGGCAAACTGAATTATTTTGCACTTTTAAAGCAGGAATTGAATGCTCTGCAAGTATTTTATAATTACAGCATTTTACACCTGACATGTCTTTGTTATTATTAATCATCATACATAGAGGGATGCATTGGTAGAATTGGATTTTTTAATGTGAAGGTCTGCTTTAATGACTGGAACACACAGACACTCATATATACACACATACATGCAAATGCTCACAAAGACTGAACTTGATGGACCTGTGTCTTTATTCAACCTCAAATACTATGTAACTTAAGCTTTGAATATAGTAGATATTTTTTTTAATAAAAACATAATTATAAAACACACGTTTAAAAACCTATGGACTTTCAGATCTGTGCAGTAATCCAGCATTAATCAACTTGTGCCTCTGTACGGGAGCTTCTTCTAATACAGACCAGTCACAGCTGCTCCCTCTTTGTGTACAAGATGACTGGTCTTGTCTTCTCCCCTCTGTAGTTTTCTGCAGCCAGCTTCTAGTAAGTGCTGCTCCTGAGTCCCAGTCACAGTTCCACTCTGTATAGGCTTGGTGTAGCATATGAATTGAATTAGTTTATTTTTGCCAGTTGTTCAGCTTTAACCCTTTTGCTACTGCCCCCATATAGTGATGGCAGCAATACCCTGGAAGCAGATCCCAAGTTGCTATAGCAGCTGGAAGTTTGCTTACACATGTAAATCTGACTGTCAGCTGTACACAAGAAGGGATTTAGGTGGCTGTAAAGCCATTTGCTTACTTACATAGGCCACTGAAGAATTCCCTCTTTTCACTTGACAACCCCCCAATGTATCTCAAGATTCACTACCCCGCAGCAGACCAGGGAATAACATGGTGGGTGTTAGCAGATGTGGCAGTGAACATCCATTTACTTATTGCTCTTGTGCTGAATGGTATGATTACTATTGTAATGAAAAGAAACTTGCTGTAGTGTGAAATTATAATGAAAAATAGTTAATGACATGAATAATCTACCTGAAATATTTGTCTTTTTGCTAAAGCTTAGCAAAGTTATAATAAACCAGAAAAGTGAAAAAAATGGGTATTAAATTGTGTTTTTGTGCACTAAAATTAATTTAAAGTTATTTTTAATGAAAATGTGGGTTTCATAAATAGTTGCGCTAATATTGTGGGACATAAAAAATTGCAACTGCCATCATTTCATTCTACAGGATCTCTGCATTCAGGAAATGTATATTTCGGGAGGGCTTCAAATAATCTACAGTCCTAAATTGTGCATTTTAACATGCAAAAAAATACAAAAACAGTTCTGGCAGTGAGAGGGTTATTTGTACCTTAGATTTAGAGCCACCTTCTTACCTGTGCATATCCATAAATGTTTAAAATCTGAGCTATATGTAAAGATATTTCCGATGACTGGCCTCCAACAACACCAACAAGTTTGTCATGATCATAGCAGGAGTAGTTGGGAACCGTGGATCCCTTTCCAGATAATATCTCCAGGACACTGTCTAAAGCTTTATTCACATTTCTACAAGAGTCACCTGCAAGGTATCCCAGGGTCACATTAGGTAAAATGTCAGAATTACTGTTGATCTCATTAATGGCAAACATAAAAGCCAGGAAGTATCTGTAGTAACGAGGTACAGGTCTATGAAGAGAAAAAGGATGAAAAGGGCATCTTGAATCTTCTGTCTAATTTTTTTTATATGTGTTTTAGGCCCTTAATAGAAGGGTCATTTTTAATTTTAATAATGTGAAAAGCACCAAAAAGCCATCATCATCAAAAGAGCAGCAGAGAAAGACCTACCATTGCTTTTTGTGTGAAGCTAGAGGAACATACTGTAAGTGTCTCCATGCCACTATGGAGGCATCCACAGTCAAAGAAAATGAGGCATTTGGAAATCCAGGCCACAAACTCACGAGGGGATACTGAAATAAAGTATGCTTAAGCACTAAAGATTGTTCAATCCAACACCAAAGGATATCAGCGGAGGGTCTTATCCAATGTCTTAATTGGTCCAAAACACTGGCAAGATAGTAATCCTTCATATATAGAAAACCTATCCCTCCTACTGAACAATGTTTAATTATCTGGGAGTAAGAACAAGCTTGTTAATGTTGCCATGAAAAAATGTAGGTAAATGGAGCGTAAAGATTTGAAAAATATATCTTTAACTGTTAAAGGCAGTGTGCAAAATAAATAAAGTATACAAGGGAGGATTAACATTTTAAATTCAGCCAAGTGTCCTGACCATGTCATCTCGTGTTTACAAAGCTTAAGATGATCTCTTTAACAGAAGTCAATAGGGGAAGGTAATTTTCCTAATAAGTTAGATGAAGGCGAGGTTAATTATATACCCAAATATGATAGACTAGCTGTACTCGATGCATAAGGAGAAGAGGAAGATAGGGTAGATTGAATAGAAAAAGGAATACCTACGTTGAGTATATGGGAGTCATTAACTTTATAGTAAGAAACATGTCCAAACCTTTAGATAGCTTGTTGGACTGCTGCCAGTGAATAGATGGATTTTATGTTGTCTATTGTGAAGGAGAAAGACCGTAATGTTGACATTCGCTCTAATGGATTCAGCAAAAGATTTCATTAGAAGATCAAAGATTAAAAGTGAAGGGGGACGGCCCTGTATGGTTCCATTCATTGTTATAAAGGGTTTAGAGAGCACTCCAGGTGTAAATACTTGTGCTGAGGGACATGAATAAAGAGCTATGATTGCCTCACATTTGGTACCTACTAAGCCAAATTTGTGAATAAGGCCTCGGGCGTTAAGTGAAAACAATTTAAGGGTCAAAGCCAAACATTTTTGGTTAAGCCAAAAATGTGTTATTAAAAATGACTTAGATACAGAAAATTCAGAGCCCAAAAAGCAGCTAATTCCAAAGGGAGGGTGTAATGTCGCACATTGACTCTGTAAATTTTTCCAGTAAAGGGAGCTGACCAATTATCTTGGTTATGCACTGGTACAAGTAAAAAAAAATAAAGAGGTGGAGCAAAACAGTAACATAAACAGCATAGTCGCACTGTTAAAGTAAATTACAGAACAGGGGTCAGTATGTGGTGCAATATCAAGCAAACTCAAAACTCTCTATTAAAACATTGTAAAACTTACTGGTATGCAATGAGACCTTGGCATTGGTTAAGAGTTCAGTCTCCTACCCTTTGCGGAATTTTGCTAGTCTGGAGGCATTTTCTTAAGATTGGGAGATGATGTCCTAGGAGGAGAGTCCTCTGGTTGAATATTCCTAAGAAGCAGGAGGTTAATTCCTTCTTCCAGCGAGGAGATAGTGTGAGACAAACCTTTTTTTTGGTAAGTAGGATCTTTGTGGGATAGCACCAGTGATAGGTGATATTATGCTTTCAAAGCGCTCCAGTAATTGGAGTGAGCTTCTTCCTTACGTTCATTGTACAGTATGATTCAACAGGTCCAGATAAAACTGCAGTATAAAATTTGGATCCGGTAACACAGGAGTAGAGCAGATCAGTTGCTCCTTGATATGGAAAAAATGAGTACGCAGAATAACATTGTGTGGTGTTCTCTCAGGTAAGAAGGATGGTTTTGGCAATCTATGAATTTTGTCTATCATACATCACTGTGTGAACATATGTGCATAGTTCCTGCTGAGTGACAGATTCAGGTATACCCCATATTTTAATATTGTTGCGGCGGGACCTATCCTCTAAATCTGCCAATTTGGATTTAATCCAGTGCACATCGACGGTAAGATGATCATGAGAATCTTTGAGCTCATTGATGGTGGATGTGAATTCGCCCATTTTCGTTTTACATGGTCCATTCTGCCACCAATTGAGGTAACAGCAGGACTGGGATCTTGAACTAGAGAAACCATGTTGGTGTGTATTGCACTACGGAGTAGAAGAAAGTAAAGTGCTGATTTTTAGTGCCCAAGGTTCTCATAAGAGTTATGAGTGGCCTGGATAGGAGCAAGGAGAGACAGCTAAGAGAGCGAGGAGAGACATCTTGTGTCCCTGATTCAGGACCATACACTGCAGAACTTGTTAAATGGGCTGAAGCACAAGGTGTCTGAAAAAGTCGCAAATTGTTTGCCGAGATCCATGTTTTTTGGCATGAGGGACATTAGGGGTGATATGAAATAAAATGAACAATGCTTACACTGGATCCTCCTGCACCACGACAATCCTGGCTCTGAGTGGATAGATTTAGCATTTCACATGGGAGAGGGCAAGGGAGAGGGAATGTTGTACTTACTATCACAGCCCAGTCGCAGTGGAGGTCTACCTCAATACTCTGCACAAAGCACAGTTGCATATGATCAGGTAGACCAGAACCCCATGGTTGCCCTTGTCTGCCTGACATTGTGACATTTTTTGTCCAGATGAAACACAGGCACAGCACATACAGAATTCAAATCAAATTCAGTGTGAATCCTGGAGAGGTGGCAACCCTAGATGACATCAGTGTAGGTTGTATTAAAGTTTATGTATAGACCAAAGCTGTGTTTTGGACACAGTATAAAAAGCTTAAAACCCCAATTAGTTTATTTTTGGTCTATTCTGGGGAAATTTCCTTTGATTTTTTATAAAAAAAATTACACCAAAGTGAAGGGCATTCCTATCTTTGTTGTCACTGGAATATTTGTCACTGCTGGATAATTAACTGTCACAGCTTCTTCTAGTGACAACTGTGAAATTTTGGCAATTGTAACCATACCAAATGGAGGGGTTAATCTGAGACAGCCTGAGACACAGACCGCTTTAAAAATTTGAAAGAAAGTCTAACCCTGCCCACCCCACCCAAAACTGAAAGAAACATTTTGCTTTCACATACACTTTAATTTAAAAAAAATACTTACAGCATACAAGCCATCGAAGAGTTTAAAAATTTGCCAAAATGCACTAAATGATGATAAACACTGAATATTCCACCAATTATGAAGTCCCCTTCACTGAAATACCTGATGTTGTATACATATTCTTTTCTGGTAATAAAACATCTAGGTCCGGAACTTATTTGTATACCCTCTGATGGTAATGTCATACATAGACATAATGTAACTTGCAGAAGTGCACAATGGACATTCATCACTGAGCCTTGTCACTGTCCTACCCAATCCTTTTATATGGAGAATTAAAGTTCTGTAATCAGAGTGCACACAGAGTGCACACAGTGCACGCTATGTCTGGAGTCTGAATCACTACAATGGTCTTATATAGACGTGGCAGAGCAATATAAAGATTTTGTTAGATCTCAGATGCTTTTTTATAGACAATAAATTATATATTTATTTTTCTTCATGTAATACTTTTTTTTTAAATCATGGTGTTATTTGAGAAACAACAAGATAAGAAGCAGGAATAAAAAAAACATTAAACAAAGAAAATGGACTGCATGGGTCAGATTCTCATGAATTAACTTTCCATTGTCAATGGCCAAGTTTACTTTTCATACCATGTTTCATGTTTCACCCAAATTTAGAAAGCTTTTCTTGCAACTAATGGAAGAAAGCCATATACAACAGTCCAGTATAAACAAACGTTTTAATCCAAAAGGCTAAAAAGTTCCATCACATCAGGACTCCCTGCCTAGAATCCAAGCACAGGAGTCCCTCTGTGTTAGAAATCTTTAGGCTTTTAGATTAAAGTTTGGTGTTGGTGTACTACAGTATTCAGCTTTCTTCCATTGTTTGTTGGGCTCGAGTGTGGATGGCTCCTAGCCTTCACACACTTGTCCCCGGGTGTTGTAGACTCAGTGCTGGATGGAGCAGTGATGTATCTCCTCACTTGAATACAAGAACTTTTGCAATTCCAAATTTCAGATGATGCCTGCTGCCGGATGGAGCTTAGCTTTTCAATCACTGTACAATATTTGTGGCTATTGTCTCTCAAATAAGTCAAGCAAAACAAATGGCAAACACACTCATCAATTTGTTATCAGCTATACAGCAAGGTGCACATGGAAGGGCTTTAGACAGTAATAGCAAAAAGTTTCCCAGCACACTCACAAGCCAGCATGCAAAAAAAACTTGTCTCACCGCTAAGGTTAAAAACCTCTGTTTTTATCCTTAGCGGTGAGGGAAGTTTTTTTTTGCATGCTGGCTTGTGAGTGTGCTGGGAAACTTTTTGCTATTACTGTCTCTCAAATAAACCACTTAAATTTTTGTTTTAAGATAAAGCCTGGCTCTTCTCTACCTCTGACTAAGCTTTCCTCATATGCTCTAGCCACTGAACAGTATGTGTGGCTATTGTCTCTCATAATAAAATATAATTTTTTTTAAGATAAAACCTGACTTGTCTTTTTCTATTTGCTGACTATTCAAGTGCTTACTTACTGTCCCAATGCTAGCCAATTTCTATCAAACACATACCTGAAGTCTATATTTTGAAAACTTTGGGGGAAATTGGGGATACATGAATGGGAGGGTGTTTGGGGAATGTGGATTTTCACCTTGAAGTGTTTTTCTGCACTAAGTTTTGATATTCTATTAAACTTTTAAGATAACACAGTGCGGTACTGCCAGTAAAATAAGCTCATAAACTATACTATTAAACTTTTTTTGCTACTAGATATTATGTTAGAAGCTGAAAGCTTTAGGTTTATTTCTTTTCACCATTTAATTCAGGCCTTTTGCTGCTGAATAAAAAAATCAGGTGTTGCAGCCAAAACTACCAAAAATGGTTGAAATAAATCAGATTGGGAGCTGCTGTTGTGTTTATGCCAAGCTAAATATAAAAGTTAAAAAAAAAATTATACATCCAATATATGAGGTGCCAGAATATGGTTTTCCTGATGCTGCCCAATAACATTTTACTGTTGCCTAACACAACATACAGCATCTCACAAGCATGCAATTGAAATAATTTCTTCCCAATATTCCCCTGGAAGTCTCATTTAAAGGACCCTCTACCTGCTGTATGGTATTTTTTAAATAGTTTTGTTCTTTGTTACATGTCCCCTGTGGAAGTTCCCACCTCCCCATGCCTTTTTCTTACTTTATTAGACTTAAAAATAGGCAGTATTTAGTATTAAAATGTAGTATTAAGTATTGTAGAATTCAATGGAGTTTGCTGGTAGGTCAGTACAACTTTACCTCATTCACTAAGCTAAATGCATTTTCTCTTTACAAAGCACATGTATGCAAGTAGGTATTTTTTTTCTGATCTCAATCATCCAATCATGTGCAAACATGATTTATTTTCCTTGCACGTGATTGGGTATTTTGGGGGTATTTCACCACGTTTGCTAACATAACTGAAAATTCACTTTGCAAACTGAAAATTCTCTACTCCTTTAGTTAATCAACCCTTATGTACAGAAAACGGCATAAGTATATTATAATTGTTGTCCATCACACATCAGTCCATTGGTGTTTCTAGCCTAACTTGTTGATGACCTAATAAAAAGAAATCATAGATAAGAGGTTCCAGAAACTGTTACATACATTTGATTGTAGCAATAATAAGAAACAATAGAAAAAGAGACCCTGCTTATACAAGATTACTGTGTGCTGCTACTAACAGCCCACTTTATGGTTGTTTATTGCTTTGATTTGTGTCTTAGTACATTCCAAAGTTCCCCCTCCTGTTCTGTACTAGTTAGTTGCTACTCCCTGCTTTCCCATGTTCTATAGTTACGTTTATTTGTTTGCTCATGAAGTAAAGAATTCCCCAATAGAGTAAACAAACATATGATTCCATGATGCTCTATCACCTTCAAGAAATGCTCAGATAAAATCCTTGTAACCTGCAGAGCCAGAATAAACTACATTGGATTTCACTCTGAGCCTTCATAATTTTCATAAATTTCATAAAGCAGCATTTAAAAATAAACAATTAGTCTCAAAGAATAACTTATCTCTTTAGAGGTATTCTGAATCTTGTGGTCGTACAAGTTTATGACAGTTCTGCAACAGTGATGACCAATGGTATAAGTAAATGTAAAATTTGTTTAAAAATTTGCTGCCGGCCAGCAGCAGATGCCAACAGATGCCGGCCAAATCAAAACAACTAGGTGGAGCCAGAGGTGATGTCACCGCTAGCTCCACCCATTTGTTTACTTTTTGCTGGCACCTGTCATACAGGTCATGTTGCGACAGGAGTTTGTCGCATGCAGATGGTTCGGTGGGCGTTGTTTTTTTTATTTTGATGAGCCATCACCATTGTGGACAACGCTGGACCTCATGATTGACTTTAGGAATATGTCGAGCATCAATTATTGGGATTTATTTTTAATTAAAAGAATTGTCAAAAAATGTTCTTGTGGTTTTTTTAATTAAAATATTTTTTCAAAAGTGTGGGCTCTTTATTTACTATTTATTTAAAAACGTTAGTGAATGAGTAGGGGTACCCCTTAATTATTCACAAGGGGTGGGCAGCATCTGGGTGCTCCCTTTATTAAATGGGGTACCCCGATGCAAATAAGCCACCCTACTCGCAGACCCCCACAACCAATAGGTCAGGGCATGTGGGGAAGAGGCCCTTGTCCCCATCGGCACAGGGCCAAGTTTGTTTTTCTTGGGGGGAACTGGTGGCTTTTTTAGTGAAATAATTACATGATATTGTTGATTTTTTATCAAAAGCTTGTTACAGTGCCATTGATTTTTTTAAATTAAAAGCTGGTTGTTATGGGTCTGGCTTAAAATGTGGCCTAGTGAAAGTGCTTCAATACTGTGCACAATATTTAGGAAGCCATTTTCAGTAAAAGAAAAGACACGTTATTGTTGATTGTTTTATTGACAGCTCACTGGTGTCTGTCTTCTTCCAAAATTGTCTAGTGAAAGTTTTTATATTCTGAGAACATAGTCACTACACTATTTTGATGTAATTTTCCAGTGAAAACATAGATTCTAGCATTGGTTTTTCTATTAAAAGCTGACTGGTGTCTGTCTTGTTCAAAAAAATGCCTAGTGAAAGTCCTTAAATACTGTTCATGTAGTCACTGTAAAATGTTGATGTTTTTTTCAGTGAAATAATTAAACTCTAATATAATTTTTTTCAATCAAAAGCTTGCTAGTGTTTTCCTATTCAAAAAGCGACCTATTGAAAGTCCTTATACTGTTCATATTGTCACTGCAATATTTTGGTGGCTTTTTCCAGTAAAAAAAAATCAATTATATTGTTGATTTTTTCATTAACCCCTTCATGATGGGAGACGTACACTGTACGTCCCACCACAAAGGGACCCAAATGACTCGTCACGTACACTGTACGTGACGAGTTAATTGCTGCACTAGAAGGCTGGTAACCGCTGAGAATCTGCGGTTATCATTCATTAATAGATGATTAAGTTTACAGGCATCCATTAATGAAAGGGTTAACCTTTTTCAGACACCCGATACCTGAAGATCGGGTGTCTGAGAGTCACAGCAGAGCCGGCAAACATGCCAGCTTTGCCTGCATTCTGACAGCTCGTATAGATCGAGAGATATCTCTCTCAAGCTATACTGGCTTTTTTTTTCACTTTCAGGAATAGATACATAATGTATCTATTCCTGAAAGAAGAATGTTTCAGTTTGCTGATCGTTGTTGCAACAATCAGAAAACCTTTAGTGACAGCTGAATCCTGAACTGCTGCAGGATCAGTGCCACTAACTTATTATCGGCTGTTCTGAAGTTTAAAGCAGCCTGATAATAACCAAAAATGTATTATTTATCAAGCAGTAATAGTGAGATTAATTCACAATGACTGCTTGATATAATTAAATAAATAAAATAACATTTTTAAGTTTAAAAAGAAAATGAAAAGTGTAAAAAAAATAGTGAAAAGTGTAAAAATAAAAAATAAGTGTTAAAAAATAAGGGACAAATAAATGAATGTATTTATTGCATTTTTTTTAGCTTTGCTGGTTTTGTAAAAAAAAATACTACAAATCAAAACTGGGAAAAAAAGTGTTTTTTTAAGTTTTTTCCTCTTTTTTTATATTTTATTTGTCCTAAGTGAGGCGTTAGACACACATATGTGATATAAATATGTAGCCCTATCTGTCCTCTAAAAAACAATATATAATATGTGTGGGTGCACTTTGTAAGAAAGTATATTACTGACGTGGAAGAATCACACAGAAAGTAAAAACAAGCTCAGTCATGAAGGGGTTAAATGCTTGCTGGTGTGGGTCCTGTTCAAAAAGAAAGTGCTTGAATACATTGCACGTAGTGCCTACAATATATTGTAGGTCTTTTTTAGTCAAATAAATATACTATATTGTAGGATTGTTGCTTAACAGCTGGCTGGTATCTGTCAATATCCAAATGTGGCCTATTGAAAGGGCTTAGATACTGTGTTAGTCACCGAGGTGGATTTTTTAAGGGAAAAATATGCTTTATTGTTGATTGTTTAATATAAATGTGGCTAGAGTGGGTCCTGTTCAAAGTCACTGCATCATTTTGGGGGATTTTTTCAGTGAAATAAATACAATTTATTGTTTATGTTTTTTCTTAAAAACTGACTTGGGTCCTGTTCAAAATGAACACTGACTAACACTGATGAACCTGACTTACTATGTAACTATGTAAATCTATTATACATGCTAAATGTGTTATGCAAGAGTATAGCGTAATTGATGTTGTCCCTGAGAATCATGTTCTGTAACACCAAATACAGTTTGTAAAGGCATCTCCCAAGCATGTACTTATGCATATTGGTGTTTGTCCCAAGTTGCCGTCAAATTTGTATAAAAAGAAGGACCACCTCTCCACTGAATGGTTTTCATCAATATTAATGTTTGACAATCTCTTGTCTATTTCCCTTGAAAATAGCAAGAACTGATTTCCAAGATTCACCCCAACAGATGTCAGTGGGGTTTAGATTTAAGTTTGCAATATTCAGACCTTATGATGAAAGGTCTGTGACCTGAACCGAGGCTCAGCCCTACTCTTTGATTGTGAAAAAAAACAAAAACAATTTCTCTAGTTCATGGCCTGGCCATTTCCCACGTGAACATTTTTCCAGCCATTATAATTTTTTATTGTAGCATTATGTACATAATTTCGTTTTAAATTATTTTCTTTAAAAAAAAACACACATACACAATATACATGTTTGTGTATTATATACTATTTAATTTTTGTTTGTGGATAAGTAACATTAGTGTTCTTCCCATGTTACCCATGTGTACCCCATATACATTAACATAGCCATGAGAGACAGATATCTAGGAGCCACTTTTTAGAATTTATTAATCAAATTGAGTACCAATAGTAGCCAACAATTCATGCTATATTATATTAATTTAAATTGATCAAAGTTATTTCTGATATCTTTGGTTTAGTAAGTTACTTTTTGAGTTTAAATCTGGCCTCAGCAATATGATATAACATTTTGGAAAAAATATACAACCCAAAATGCCGACAGTAGAAGATAGTATAGCAAATATCTCTACAAGCACCGTGTTCTTTCCTGTAACGCTCATATGAGCTGGGATAAAAGCGATCCAGACGCTGCAGAACACCAGCATGCTGAAGGTGATGTATTTGGCTTCATTGAAACTATCTGGTAAACTTCGGGCCAGGAAGGCCACAATGAAAGTCACGGCTGCTAGAAGTCCCATGTAACCCAGGAGGATGGAAAATGCCACCGCAGATCCTTCATTACACTGAATGATAATTTTGTCAACATACAAGTGGGTGTTTCTTTCTGGGAATGGAGGAGAATAAGATAACCAAGTGATACTAATTAAAACCTGAAAGAAAGAACAAAGGAAAACCACACAATTGGGGATTTTTACTCCAATAAATTTCCTCCAGGGACTTCCAGGTTTGGTGGCTTTGAAGGCTGAGTAGACCATGATAGTCTTGGCCAAAATAGAGGAGATAGCAACCGAGAAGATGATTGCAAATGATGTCTGACGCAGCATACATGTTGTGTGTACTGGGCGGCCCAAAAACAGAAACACACAGATAAAACCCAACATAATAGAAACCAGAAGTATAAAGCTCAGGTTTTGGTTATTAGCTCTGACCAATGCAGTGTCCCGAAATGCAATAAAGATTCCCAAGATTGTAGAAGTTTTTAGAAAAAGAATCACAGAGATGATGGAAATCAGAAGTGTTATTGTATCATTCTGGTAGGACAGATATTCCACGGGTTTTGGATGACACTTGTTGTTGTCATTTGGCCACTGGTCTTCTGGACACTTATGGCATGATCCTTTGTCTAGATATAAAAGATTGCATGGAAGAGGTCAGCACAGAAATATGGGAACTGTCATTATTAAGGAAATCAGGAGTCATAAGTCGTCTGAAGTTTGGTAGTTGCTGACCTGCAAGCCACCATCACATACTGTTCCCAGCTTCTAAATGCACTATATGTGAGGTCTGCCATTTGAAAAGGCAGCAACTGTCACCTTCAAGTGACCTCTAACACCTGATACAAGCTGAAGAATATGACTCAGAGAAAATAAAGCTAAATTGGATGGGCAAAAATATTAATTATTCATAAGTAAGTCTGCTATCCAGTGCTCCATTCCAGAGATTTCTCCCTGTTCTGGTGACACAGCTTTATCAGACAGCAAGTAGGGAAAACTCACCAACAGCAACACAAACAGAAGTTATTTTTTAAGTCAATAAGGGAATGATAGAACCCCTATGAGCTTTTTTTTTTTTTTATATTTTAAAATAATAAGTGGGTGCTTGAAGGAATAGTGTTGGATGGCGCTACACTAAAACCTAATCAAGAGATGCAGAGTCACCAGTGCTCCAGATATATCATTGTTTCTCACAAAGTTATTGTGAAGAACAGCATCACGGACATATATACCAATGTTTCGGGGCCTATCAGGGCCCCTTTCATAAGGCAACATAGAGTGTTGCCTTAAAAAAGGGACACTGGGAAGCCCTGAAGCATCAGTATATATGCCTGTGATGATGTTCTTCACAATAACTTTGCATCCCATGATTTGACAAAACAAAGGTGTCAACAGGACAAGAAACAAGGGGACATCTCCAGATAGCAGACATTCCCAATGACATCTAAAATGGGATTAAAAAAAAAGTTTAATGCTTGAATAAATGTTCAGACTTTTGGTCAGTCTATTAATACTGTCTTCCCAGCTCATACAACATATGTCACATATCAGACCCTCAAACATGTTTCCAGATTTTCTTTCAAAGACACTAACATTATTCTTAACTCTGATGCTTTATGATGCCAAAAAAGTTCTTTCAATCAGATCTCATTTTCTTCTAATTGGTAAACACATCAGAAAGCCCAATGTAGTTCTCCAATCATGTAGATATCAGCCCATATGTCTGCTGTGCTATAAAACTATACAAATGATAAAAGTAAAGAAGCAGAAGACAAAATTCAACAGAACAGCAGGTAGCTTCCATAGATCAGTGGATAATAATTAGCTGATTATATTCCCAGGAATATCAGAAACCTGGCAAAGCAGATCACAGGAATTGTTCTGATTAACTTCTGATGGAATATATTTAACAATATTTACTGCTGTCTATCTGACATTGTGATGTAAACACCTTACAATATGTGAATTAAATCAGCAAACAAAGAATGTACACCTGTCTCATTAGATATTTCTCCATCTGAACACTGCAAACATTCAAAGCAGCACCGATGGATTCCCCTCTTCATGACACTTCTATATCCTGGAGGACAGTCTTCAGAACACGTAGACACAGGAACCTACATGAAAAACAAAACCAGCAGAAAAGTTAATAAACACTAATTGTGGGGCGTGTCCAAGATGGAGCACATGTGTAATAGCTGTGCTCCGCCACCCTATCTATCATCCTGCAAGTTTAAGCCCTGTGGAACGTTCTTTTTGATACTGGACCATGGTCTGCCTGTTCCCTGTACCGGAGTGTATGTCTCGGGGGCGCCGTAAGTCATCTACAGGCCGACCAAGTATCCCTCCGCCCTGCCAGCCGCGGAAAGAAACAGCCTCGTGGTAAGATGGCGGACCAGCCGGTGGTCTCAGAGGAGGCCCAGCCCAGTTCACAGCGGTAATGGCCGCGATCTCTGGTTGTTAATCTGTACTCATGGCCAAGATCGATCACCTCCAATCGGATGTGGGACTCCTCAGACGGGACCTGGACAGATTTCGGGATCGGATGACAGCGGTGGAAGGTAGACTTTATGCACCCTGCAGACCAAAGTCAAGGCCTTGGAGTCCCGGGCGGTGGATGATGAAAACCGGAACCGGTGGAGTAATCTGGGCATTCCTTGGGTTGCCGGAGGGGTTGGAGGGCCCTGACCCACTCACCTTCGCCGAATCCCTGATCCGCACCCTGCTCCCTAAGGCCCAACTCATTGCCTTCTTCGCGGTTGAGCGGGCTCATCGCATGCCTTCCTTCCAAGGTCCCCCGGGGCCCCTCCGCGCACTTTCATTTTTAAACTCCTTAATTTCAGAGACCGGGATGCAATCCTTTGTGAGGCCAGGCTGCTGGGGGAGCTTAAATATGAAAACAGCAAGCTCCTCATTTTCCCAGACTATTCTATAGAGACCCAGCGCCAACACAAGTCCTTTGATGCCGCTAAAATCGGGGAACCGGGTTTCAGGGTTATGTGTGGTTATTTTATTGTGTATTGTCTGCTTCTTTTATGTTCTGTTGCAACAGCTATAGGTGGATTTGTGCTTGGATACTCTGTGGGGGTGATTTTGTGGGGGGAGGGGAGGGAGGGGAGTGCTCCTGCCTAGATGGCTCCGAATTGGGTAGTTTTGTTACTGTCAATATCATGTCCCTAACTCCAATATGTCTGAGATTAATAATAGTAATGTGGAACGTCCGGGGGCTTAACTCCCGGGTTAAACGCTCCCTGGTGTTCCAATATCTCACCTCATATAGGCCACATGTCTGTATTCTCCAGGAAACTCATCTGACCGGTGGCAGGGTCCTTAGCCTAAAGAGAGCCTGGGTAGGGCATTATTATCACTCCATGTACTCCTCCTATGCAAGAGGGGACAGTATCCTGGTTCACAAGACGGTTGCGTTTGATCTTCTGGATCTCAAGCTGGATCCGGAGGGCCGTTATATTGTTCTGCATGCTAAAATTATTCACCTGGAGTTGGTGATGGTAGGCTTGTATGTTTCCCCCCTGGTCTCGGTCCGGATCTTGAAGAAACTACTGTCCTTGATAGCTAGCTATGCCACGGAGGATGTGCTAATCTTAGGCGACTTCAACATGGTGCCATCCCCTGACAGGGACCGGATGGGGGGGTGGGGTGGCGGCCACTTCGGAGCTGTGCCGCTGGGCGGAATCAGGCTCCCTGGTGGATGCTTGGCGTTGGTGGCACCCTGAGTCCCGGGACTATACATGCCATTCTGCCTCGCATAGATCTTTCTCACGAATAGACCTGTGCTATGTTACTCCCACTGTCCTCTCGAGGCTCAGGGATGTCTCCATTCTGCCCAGGGGAATCTCTGACCATGCCCCACTAAGGGTATGTGTGGCGGCCTCCTCAGTCCCCTCTGACTGGCTGTGGCGCCTCTCTAGATTCTGGATTTCGATAAGAGAGTGGGGGCTCATATCACTGCTGCCATTGATGAGTATTGGAGTCTGAATCAGGGGACGGCTTCCCCGGAGATGGAGTGGGACTCCTCTAAAGCTTTCCTACAGCAGCTTATACCAGTATGTGATCAAGAAAACTAGGCGGGGGGTCCATCTCCAGCTCTCTGAGGCCGGTGGGCGTGGGCCCTGGAGCGCAGGTACACAGATACTAAAGACCCCAAGATATACTCGGAAATGCAGAGTGAATACAGGGACTTAATGCTACTGCGCACGGACGCGTCCCGGAGATGCTTGCTTTACCAGACTCAGCGACTGTTTGCGGAAGGGGAGCGCAATGGTAGATTATTGGCGTGGGTGGTGCAGGAGGGCATGGGAGCGTGCAGTGTCTCCAGGGTGATGGATCCAGATGGATCTGTTTTGACAGACCCCGGTGGCATCACTGCCCGCTTTGCCCCCTATCAGGAACTATACCGCTCCAGGGTGACCTACTCGGACCTGGACCTCTCGATCTACCTTGACGGGATTGACTTCCCAGTCCTACCCCTGGACTCTTGTGCAGCACTGGATACACCCTTTACTGACAAGGAACTGGCACTGGCAATCTCCTCCTTTAAAAACTGGTAAGATGCCGGGCACGAATGGATTCCCGGTGGAGTTGTATAAGACCCATGCTGAGGGGGTTGCCCCCACCTGCTGCACACCTATGGGGAGGCTCATGAAGCGGGCGCTCTTCCTCCCTCTATGATGGAGGCAATCATAGTGGTGGTGCCCAAGCCTAGGAAGGACCCTGAGCAGTGTTCGTCTTATCGCACAATATCCCTCTTAAATGTGGATCTTAAGCTCCTCACCCGCATGCTCGCTAATCGGCTCAATGCTGTAATCCCCTTGCTGATACATGGGGACCAGGCAGGATTTATGCCTGGGAGGGGGACGGATGTCAATTTACGGAGCCTTTTCACTAATGTGGATAGGCTGTGAACATCACGGGGGCAGGAGGCAGTGGCCTCCTTGGATATTGAAAAGGCGTTCGACTCTGTTGAATGGCCGTACCTACTTGCAGTCCTGTGTAGATTTGGGTTTGGTGATCGCTTTGTTGCCTGGATACAGCTCCTATACTCCTCCCCCACTGCTAGAGTCCGTATCAACAATATGCTGTCGGGGCCCTTCGGCCTGAGCCGGGGCACGAGACAGGGCTGTCCCCTCTCGCCTGGACTATTTGCACTGGCGATGGAACCTATAGCTATCCTGCTTCATGCCTCAGCCCGGGTGGGAGGGCTTCCAATGGGGAGGCTGATGGAGAAGCTCTCCCTCTACGCTGATGATGCAATACTTTACCTGGGTGATGTGGGGCCCTCCCTGACAGCGGCTTTGGGGATAATAGATACATTTGGTTCCTTCTCTGGTCTCCGGGTGAACTGGGGGAAATCCCTACTGTTCCCGCTGGGCTCATCCCCCCTTCAGCTCGATCCGGGCTTGCCCCTTACGCAAGTCTGTGAATTCCAGTACCTGGGTGTGGTGGTGACCTCGGATCTGGCCCGCTTCCAAGAGGACAATTTATACCCTATACTTAGACACCTGAGGGCGAAATCCTTGGCATGGAAAACACTCCCCCTGACACTAGTGGGTAGAATAATTTGATAAAAATGGTGTTCCTCCCTAAGTTTCTTTATTGTTTCCGAAACACCCCAGTCCAGATTCCTAATTCTTTTTTTCAAACACTGGAAGGTGTCATCTCCAATTTTGTCTGGGCGGGGAAAACTCCTCAGGTGTCTAGGGGGATTCTCCGTCTCCCTCTTTCTGAGGGGGACTGCCCTGCTTCAAAACCTACTATTGGGCATCGGTTCTGGTGACTGTCCATTGGTGATTTGAAAGGGATCAAGATAACCCAGCGGCGACTCTGGAGGCTGCTCTCGGTTCTTATGCAGGGCTGAGTAATTTGGTGTTCAGGGGGCCGATCACGGTCACGGGACCTATGCGTACTGTGCTGGCGGTGTGGGATAATTTCTCCTAGGGAATGTTTTGTTCAGCTTAAAATTCTCCATAGAGCCTACTATACCCCTGCTAGATTAGCTAGAATCTACCCTACAGCTCACGCAACATGTGCTCGCTGCGGGGTAGAGGAGGGCACTTTCCTCCATATGGTGTGGTCCTGCAGCAAGCTTTGACCCTACTGGGACTCGGTGGTGTCTACGGCCAGCGCGGTGTCTGGTCTACAGCTGGAGGTGGACCCTTTGATTTTCCTGCTAGGGTGTGGGGAGACCTTACAAGCTCCTAGGGCCACGAAACTTCTTTTATTTTATGTAGCTTTATATGCCCGTAGAGAAATAATCCTGAGATGGAAGCTTGCTTCTCCCCCCACGGTGGGACAATGGTTATGCACAATTGATAGAATGCTCCCGCTCTACAGGCTAACATACATGAGCCGTAACTGCGTGCGCAAATTTGATCGAATCTGGGGGACTGGTTGGCGGCTAGAGGACTTACCTTGGAGGGTCCAGGCGGAGAGACCTTACTCCCGCCTGTATCCCCTGAGCAGTGATCCAACGGTGTGAAGATGAAGGACCTGTGAGACTCTATTGATGGCAAGGGACGGGGCTGAGCACAGGATCGCTTCGGGAGCTGTTGGCTCCAGGTGTTAGAGTTGGAGGGAGATCCTTCTCTCTTGGTGATCCTTGAACGGAACTCATCCGTACCCCCCCCCCACCTTCTTCCCCCCCCTTCTCCCTCTTTGCCTCCTTGACTCCCCCTCATTCTTTCTTCCCTCTCCCTTCTCCCCCCGGGGGTTTTCAGTGGCATGACTGGACCCACTGGTGGGATTGGCCGTGTTGCAAGCACATGATACCAACGATCCACGCCTTACTAAGCCTTGTAGTGTATGTTTAGTTGTACATGTATTTTTCTTAATTTTTTCATTATTTGTATTGTCTTGTACTAAATGCTGTTATGCTGCAATGTGATGTTGTTGTTTATGTTTTTCCTTTGTGCAGTATGTAGATTGTTTCTGTGTTTTAAAACCTATAAATACTTTACCTGTTAAAAAATAAAAAATAAACACTAATTGTAGAAAATGTTTTAATACTGTAATAATCACAATGTGCTAAAAAGGCTTTCCCACTTTTCCCTATTTGTCCCTTTTGTAGTGACTTATATGTGCCTTAGTTCCAGGTGTCCTCAGTCCGGTGATGTCACAGGTGCTTTCACCCTATTCTTCCTCTGGTAGTCAATGGTTCCTAAATGTTGCAGAAAGCACATCATGGCTGACAAGAAGTGAGTTATATGATACTGGATGTCATTCAGCCCAGAAGATGAGTCACGCTGGTTGTGCGTTTAGCATGCTAAAGCTAATTTTTTTTTTTAAAGACTGCTGGGGGATCCACGTT